GAAGGGATTATATATACTTTGTGCTCTTTTCCTCATCATCCTTGCCAAGACTAGTTTTGCAGATTCCAGAAGGTCAGGAAGCCTTTATTAAGCCTCTGTTGAGTTACAGAAGTTGAGTAGTATAGCAGAAGCAAGAAAGAGAGGGTTCTACCCACATAGGCAATAATAAAAATGGCAAACACCACCCTCTTTATTCTTTAATTCCTATCTGCAGAGCTTCCGGAAGGAAGTAGAAGATTTCTCAGTCCACGGGGCTTGAGAGATGTTCTAGAGAGGGGGTGTCTGACACTATTTTGGGAAGTGCTTGCTACAGTGAAATGCTAAACTCTTCATGGTATAATCACTGCTTTTCCCAGCCCCCAGATAAGACTGGGAATAATTTTTTTTATTTCTGCATGTGGTCATACCAGCCATGAAACTGTGGTTAGATTCCCTTCCTTGCTATTTTTCACTTTTTCATGTTTACCAAAGATTTTCATTTTGAGAAATTGGAATCTCTACTCCCTCCTCCAAATAGAAGAGTGAAACAGGAGAAGGAAAGAAAGGGAAAAGTAAAATGTCATGAGCAAGAGCCCACTGTGGAAATTTTGGTCTTTTTCTATTTACTCTATCTGGTCATCTTCTATATATTTTTAGTTAAAATTATATAAGTTTGTGTCCCCCCTACCCTCCTTACACATCAAAAATGTTTCTTCACATACTTTAGCATTCTTTGTAAACATATTTTAATTTTTATTGTTTCTTGATTTGCAAAGTTTTTATACCAAATTTAAAAGCATGTAAGGCAGAATGTAACAGACATCCATACCCCAACCTCTGCTACCAGAATCAGACAAAAATTACTATCAACAATATAAATACGATTTATAATGGCTGTGTAATATTCTGTCTTCTGATGTAATGGTATTTGTCTCCCTTAGCTTAGTAAAATTACTGCCTCTTTGTACATGTTGCCTGCTTGGAATATTCCAATGTTGCGTCCCCGCCAACACTGAGTTCCTGTAAGTTTTTAAAAAATTTGCTAGGTTAAAAAGTTGTTACGATGCAGATGAGCTCATTGTGGGCTTAATTTTCGTTTGTCTGCTTACCTAATGAAATTGAATATTTTTAGCATGTTTCATAATCTTTCACATTTTATCTTTTGCAAAGTATCTATTCATGTCCTTTGGGGCCTTTGTATTTTTTTTCCCCCATCAATTTGTAAAAACTTCTGATTTGTTAAGGAATACAAACATCTCATATTTGTTAGAATAATTTCCTGTTTATTTTTTGCTTTAAAATTTTGTGTTTTAGTTTTCTATAACCAAATTTATGATGTATTTTGTAACTTACTGATTGTTAAGCTTAGATACTATGTTAGTTTCCTAGGACTGCCTTAACAAAGTACCAAAAACTGGGTGTCTTTTACCAAGAGGAATCTGTTGTCTCAGCGCTCTGGAGGCTTGAAGTCCGAAGTTAAGGTGTTGACAGGTCCATGCTCTCTCTGATGGCTGCAGGGGAGAGCCTTCCCTTGCCTCTCCTAGCTTCTGCTGTTTACTGGCCGTCCCTGGCGTTCCTTGACTTGAAGCATCACAGCAGCTATAGAGTCGTTTCTCCCTGTGTGTCTTCATGTAATCTTCCCTCTGTGTCCAAATTTCCCCTTCTCACAGGGCTATCAGTTATATAGGCTTAGGGTGCACCGTAATGACCTTATTTTAACTTGATTACTGCTGTAGGGACACTGCTTTCAAATTAAGTCAAACTCTGGGAGTCTTGGAGGTTAGGACTTCCACATAGGACTTTGAGGGGAGGGCATAAAACAAAACCTATCCCCATACAGATGTATTTACAGAGGTATATACAGATAAGTATTAACTAACACTTTATTCTTTCCAATTCTCTAAATGAAATCACCTGTTACATTTAACTGGCCTCTGCTGGCAATGTGCTTTTGCACTTGCATAGCTGAAGGTGTCTTTTGTTGCTCTTACATGAATCAATGGCTGGACATCATAATTTGGGGTTAAAATTTAAGATTTAAAAATTTGCCTCAGGCTTTCTCTGAATGTAGGTCTCTTACAGTGGATTCTGTCGGAAGCTTGGGAAGCCTGTTTTTACTGTAGACTTGGAATTTTATTTTAGAAGATCTATGATTTTTTTTTCTAATTATATATTTGATGATTGATTCTGTTCCTATCATTCTGGTTTCTTCCTCAGGATTTCTTTTCTCTACAAAAATAGCACAGTGTTTACAATAGGAGATATTAAAAGTATGTAAATTAATGAATATATTAATGAATACAAATGGGCTGTTTGACGGGATGATTGAAGAGATAACTAGCAGGAGCTGGAAATGTGATTCTGAAATACTGAAGAGCAATGAGGGCTGGAAATGTGATTTTTTAATGTTCCTTATTCAGCTGATAGTGGGAATAATAGGAGTGTGTGAGGTCACCTGGGATGGGCGTGTGTTAGAGAGGGAAGAAGACAGACTTAAATTTGGGAAGCAGCTGAGGCTAAGGAACCATCTAAAGATGGAAACAGGACAGGAAGAGAGTAAGGTGAGTTCCCATTGGCTTACTGTGTTTGTTGGTTTTTCTCCCTCCCTTTACCATTAGGGTTACAGACATGTACTTCCAACTGAAAGAAATGAATGAAAAAGTGTCTTTTGTAAAGGACTCCTTAGTGTCTTTGGACAGCCAGGTGGGACACCTGCAGGACCTCTCTGCCCTGACAGTGGATACGTTAAAAGTCCTTTCTGCTGTTGACACCTTACAAGAGGATGAGGCTCTCCTGGCCAACAGAAAGCACTCTGCTTGGAGAAAACGTCCCCACAGCTGGAGCAATGTCACCTGTGCAGAGGTTCTAGGCAGCATGGAGATCTGCAGAGAGAAGAAACACCAGTGTTACAGCATGCCCCCTTCTTTGCTGCGGAGCCTGGCCAGAGGCTGGCATCCCTCACGAGTGCATAAAGGACCCTTTCTTGAGGTTACAGACAGACAGACTTCAAACGTAAGAGATGGCCAGGAAGAGCAAGAAGCAGAAAACAGTGTAGTCGCTTCTGGGGTGGCCCCGAACAGGCAAGCACGCCGAAAGTATGGTCAGTTTCTCCTGGTCCCTTCTTACCTGGAGCAAGTTCCTTATTCTGCAGAAACAGCCTGGCCTCTGCCCAGACCATCTGTAGAAGCAGGTACAGATGTGCCGGCAACTGAACATGTCACCCAGAGTGAGGTCCCTGTTCATCTGACGTGGCAGACCCCGGTTGACTCAGCTCAGGGCTCCGTGGTGGAAACCAAGGAGCAGTGTGAGTCACCTGCTCAGATGCCAGCCAGACGAGACAAAGGGGAGCAAGTTCTACCCACTTTGATTTGCACACCTGCACCCATGAAAGTGACCTCCCTTCCTTCCCAAGTCAGGAACATGCAGACCGGAGGTGGATATATAAACTGGGCATTTTCAGAAGGTGATGAACCTGGTGTGTTCAGCCTCAAGAGACAATGGCAAACCTGCTTGTCCTCCACTTGTAGCAGTGACTCCAATCAGAGTGAACAATGCCAGAGTCAGAGCCGGGGCAGTTCCCTGACTGATAACTCAATAAGACTGGCCCAGAGGGATTGCGCAGAGGTGGGATCATGTCTCCAGCCAAACACCTCCTTTCGGATTAATCTTCTTCGTAGAGACAGGCCCTTCATTAGAAGTCAGAGTCTGAGACTGCACAAGGAGGAGAAATTGAAGAACCGTAAGATTAAAAGTAAGAAGCAGAATTTTTTTAGAAACTAGTGTTAAATTCTTGCATCACTCCCATTCTCATTCTCCCCATTCTCTCAGTCTTTTCTGGGAAAAAGTATGGTTCCTCATACCATCTTAAACTTTCTCATGTGAATCATTTCCTCTACAGATCTTTCAAAATCCTCAGAGACTGGACAGTCAAAATGGATCAAAGCGAAAATGCTAACCAAGGATAGGAAATCATCAAAGAAAAAGAAGAAAACACACGGGCTCCAGGTGCCAGTAAGTGTCTTTTATGTTTTTGGCAATTGAGATAGTAGCCTCTCTCAGCTTGGTTTCTCTTTATTCTGAAGTGTCATGTACACAGCATAGTACTAGAAGGAACGAAGATACAAATTTAAGAGTCATCAGAGTGGACAAGCCACAGTTCATTTGTCCACTCACCTGTTGCAGTGCATTTGCTTCGTTTTCAGTTTTTGGCTCTTCCAGACAAAGCCGTTATGAAGATTTGTGTACAAGTCTTTGTGTGAATGTATGTTTTAGTTTCTCTTTGGTAAACATTTAGGAGTGGAATGTTAGAGTCATATGGTAAGTTTTTGCTTAATTTTAGAAAAGGCTTACATTCCTACCAGTTTAGGAGCAGTAGTCTGTGAGTGTTCCAGAGGTCCACATACTCACCAGGCCTTAGTATGTTCAGTCTTTTTAATTTGAGCATATGAGTAGGTGTGTAGCGGTGTCTCATGGTGGTTTCATTTGCAACAGTGCTGCAAGTTGTCTTTTCATGTGCTTACTTTCCATCTGTTTATCTTTTTTGATGACATGTCTGTCCAAATCTTTTGTTCATTTTTAAAATTGAGGTATCTGCCTTATTAGGTTGTCAGAGTTTTTAAAATTTTATTTTAATTTTTTATTGTAGATTTAAACCCATTGTTGGATATGTATTTTGCAAATATTTCCTTTCAGTTAGTGACTTGCCTTTTACTTTTCATAAAAGCCCTTTGAAACACAGCATTTTTTATTTTGATGAAGTTCAATGTTTGCCCAGTTCATATAGCTTTTAAATGACAGAGCTAGAATTCTAACAACTTCTTTCAAATCCAAGCCTTATGTTTTTGCTATTATTGCTGTTTTTGTTGTGTATATATATATATATATATATATATATTTATTTATTGAAGTAGAGTCAGTTCACAATGTTGTGTCCATTTCTGGTGTATAGCACAATGCTTCAGTCATACATGAACATACATGTATTCATTTTCATATTCTTTTTCACCATAAGAAAAAAGAATTGAATTGAATAAGATAAGATATTGAACACAGTTCTCTGGGCTCCACAGTATGCACTTGTTGTTTATCTGTTTTATATACATTTGTTAGTGTCTGCAAATCCCAAACTCCCAGTTGCTCCCTTCCCACCCTGTTGTTATTGTTGTTTTGCTCTGTACCAGAGGTTCTCAGACTGCAGTCTCCCATCAGCAGCAGCAGCACCTGGAAACTTGCTAGATATTCCAGTTCTCCCCCCAAGACCTACTGAATCACAGATCCTGAGGGTGGGAGCCAGGATTCTATGGTTTAACACAGTCCTGGGTGATTGTGTTGCACACTCAAGTTTGAGAAGCGCTGTTCCCCACCCTGCTTCTCAATCATGACTGCAAATAGAAAAGTCACATGGATGCTTGTGTCCCGTCAGCATGAGTGGGAGTTCAAAGCTGATTTTAATGTACAGGTGATTTTAATGTACAACCAGTGTTAACAACCACTGCTCTTCAGCATGATACCTCTATTAATACAACACAAAATATTTTCAGATTAATATCACTGTTCCAACGAGTGTCCTTCTCCCCAGGTCATAACAGTCAACACCTGCTCTCAAAGTGACCAACTGAACTCAGAGCCAGAAGATAACAAGATCTCAGAAGAACAGGAGTGCAGCAAGAACTGGATTCCCATGTCCACATTTAGTCAGATAAGTATGTATTAGTCTACACTCTTGGATCCCAGGAACCCTGGTAGAGTGTCCTCAGGGTATGAGCGTTAGACCACTGAGGGTCCCTGCTGTCCTTTCAAGTGGGGCTGAGAGTATGAGAAGTGGCTACCACACTCTCTTAAGAAAATAAGCTCTTTCCTGCTTTTAGATTTTTTTTTAATAGAAGTATAGCTGATTTACAATATTATGTTAGTTTCTGATGTACAGCAAAGTGATTCAGCTACACACACACACACACACACACACACACACACATTCTTTTTCATCTTCTTTTCCATTATGGTTTATCACAGGATATTGAATATAGTTCTCTGTGCTGTACAGTAGGACCTTGTTGTCTGTTTTATATATAGTAGTTTGTATCTCCTAATCCCAAACTCCTAATTTGTCCCTCTCCCTCCCTTTCCCCTTTGGCAACCATAACTTTGTTTTCTATGTCTGTGAATTTGTTTCTGTTTCATAAATAAGTTCATTTGTATTATATTTTAGATTCCACATATAAGTGATATCATATGATATTTGTCCTTCTCTGTCTAATTTACTTTATTTAGTATGATAATCTCTCTGTCAATCCACGTTGCTGCAATTGACATTATTTCATTATTTTTTATAGCTGAATAGTATTCTATTGTGTATATACACCACATCTTTTTTGTCTATTCATCTGTTGATGGACATTTAGGTTGCTTCCTTATCTTGGCTATTGTGAATAGTGCTGCAGTGAACATTGGGATGCATGTATCTTTTCAAGTAAGAGTTTTCTCCAGATATATGCCCAGGAATGGAATTGATGGATCATATGGTAACTCCTGTTTTTAGGTTTTTAAGGAACCTGAAAGTATAGTTTTAGCTTTTCTTATAGGTATTTTATTTTAATTATAATATTGTGCTATTACTAGAACCATATTTATCATCATAATTTTATAATATTATAAAAAATCATATATGAAATGTTGTGAGTTTTTTCCCAGTAGCTTTTTTTGCATTTCCTGTATACTTTTTTTTCCAGCACAAAATATTAGGAAAAAAATTATAACTGTTATCTCCTGTATTTAGCCAGGGACTCTTAATAAATACTGGTCTCAGAATTAACCCAACCAAGTATTTATTAAATCATTTTGGGGCACCTACTATATGCCAGGGGCTCTGTAAGTACCAGGTATACAAAAATCATAACAGTAATGATCCTTGTCAACCTTTTAAAGAAAAGGCTTAATATTAAAACTATTTCCTGGCATTCTTTTCTATCTTTCTTTTGTTTTTATTTTGTTTTTTTTTTTAAGTAGCCTACTACAATGCTTGATGCAGTTGTTAAGGAAGAATTTCTAACAATCCAGACCTCAAATTTCATCTATTTTATTTTTTTGTTTTTTGAAGGGGGGAGGTAATTAAGTTTATTTTTTTTTTTGGTTTTTCAGCGGAGGCACTGGGGATTGAACCCAGGACCTCAGGCATGCTAGGCATGCGCTCTACCACTTGAGCTACACCCTCCCCACCTCACATATTTTAAATAGAACATGGATGGTAGGGTGCAGGGGAAGGTGAGAGTGGAAAACTTACTAAAGGTGTTTTATTGGAGGACAGGTTATGGATAACTTAAAATTCTTGACTTTGATAGAGGTATAAATTGTTATAAATTTAAAAATAACTGTTGAAGAATAGATATAGAACGGCAACAACTTGAGTAGAAAGGACAAAAGAATCTTGGTAAAACTTGCTAAAAAAAAACTATATTCAGATTTACACTGAATGCACTTGTTTAGAGCGTTTATTTGGGAACTGTGATTCGAATGTAACACATTTTCATGTATTCTCCAATTTCTTTCTTCCTTTTAACAAGGTCTAGAACCGTGCACATATCAGAAGATGCGAATCAAAGCTCCATGGCGTTCTGCACAAGCCAGTGATTACGTAAGGCGGTCTCAAGGGGTAAAACCATTTTACCTGATACTTTAAAAGCTCAGTTTTTCCACTGCCCCCCTCCCACTTTATTCTTTCCTTGTTTTTCTTTTTGCAGTTTACCCACCCAATAATTTATCCCGGGCATTATGAAAGAAAGAATTTAGGAGTTTTGGAGACTGTTTTCAAATATATAAAAGTTGCCATGTGGAGAAAAATAAAATATTTTCAATATGCTTTTAATAGGTAGCACTAGAATCAACGTGTAGAAGAAGGGAGACAGACTTCAGCCCACTGAGACGGAATTTTTAGCAATTGGAGCTTTCCAAGGATGGAACGGTTTATTTACGGAAGTAGTAAATTCCGCATAGTGTGGTTAGTTAAACAGGATAAGCAGACCTCTCTGCAGAAGTGTTGGGGAGGAGCTGGACATTGCAGGGTAAAGGACCCTCCGTGTTTCTCCAGCACTGAGGTTCTTTGATTTTGCAGTCTGTTTTTCTTGCTGTTCTTACCGTAAGCGCCTGTTCTATTGCCGTTCAGCATGTGGGAAGTGTGATCTATTTAAACTAGCCCAAGAAATCTATTTTGGTCTTGGTTTGAACATTATCCCTATGACCTTGGGAACTGTATACCCATTACCTGTGTGACTGTGTCCTAACAACCTCAGATGTTCTTGTAGGAATGTAACCTGTGAAAGTGAAGTGTAAGTGAAAGGAAATTGGAGGCAGGGGCGTCTGCCCTGTCAAATCTTGGCTCTGCCACTTCCTAGGCTTCAAAGCTATACCCATCAATTAACCAGGGGGCTTCATTACCTTTATCTCTAAAAGGGGGTTGATGCCAGCCTTACGGAACTGATTGTGCATAACGAAAATAATGCTAATGAAAATGCCTAGAGTAGTGCTTGGAGTGTACTGGGTTTCAAGAAATAATAGTTGAACCTAAGTAGGAAATAGTATGAGAGAAATTCAAGGTCACATTCTCAATAATCAACTGAAACAACAATCTACTGATGAGAGGACATAATAAGGTAGTGATCAGCGTTTCCTGTCAGCTTTGACCTTCATTCCGTCTTTTATGTCATTAACTGATTTTATATGTTTACTCTCATTTCTGGAAAAACCTTTGTATATTACATTTTCTCTTTGATATCCCCATGAAAGTAATTTTGGTCACCACTTTGGGTTACTCGTGTATCATGCTAACATCATGCATCTTTCTAGTATGAGTTTGGTATGTTTAGTAAAAGAAATACTGAGCTAGAGGAAAGGAAAGAAAGAACTATACCGTCCAAGGAGTGTGTTTTGCATATGTGTTACTGGAAGCTGGTGTGACATGTAATGACCTTTCCCTTCTGCTCAGGATCTAAGCAAAAACTCTTTGTGGAATTCCAGGAGCACCAAAAGCAATAGGAGCTCTCAGTGAGTATTTCTAAATGTCTGTCTTTGAGCATCTTTGACTTCTATTTTTTTAACCTGATTAGGAACAAAGATTTAATTGGGTCAGAAAAGGAAGGAAAAAAAAAAGCATGTGTCCAATGACAATATTTTTCTTTTGTTAGCAAGAATAAAAATCATTTATTATTCTCCTAGTTTTCCTGTTTCTGGTAACAAGATCTCACCTATAACAAGTAACATATCTTTTTTGATAGGCAAGATAGTGACATTTGCATTAAAAAGTAGGACTAAATCTGTCTTGACTTAAAAAAAAAAAAAAAAAGAAAGAAAGACCAGATAGTTTTTTCTTCAATTTTTTTTTTCCAAATTTTTTTCTTTTAGTTTATGAGGTTGATTTTTCTGGTTTCTTATTAACATCCTAAGTGTTTGTCAAAGCAGTAACTCTTTGAGAAGGACTGAGACAGAGAGAAAGGAAGACAGGGCTAGAGAAGAGATAGAGAACTCACATTGCCGTGGACTTGAGTGTCCTCCTGAAATTTTGTTTATTCGGAGAAGATGTGAAAACCAACCAAGCAAAGATGATTCTATTTTGCTTCTAGTGTTTGATGGACTTTTCCAGCTGCATCATCAAATTAACCACCCATACAGCTATGGGAGCAGCATTCAAAACCATCTGAATTCTGCAAAGGGCCAATTGATGCCAAGCAGGTGGAATGTGACTTTCAGTTTGCAGTCAGCACTGTCTGATGTGGCCTTTTCTCTGGAGCTCCCGTCAAGGTCTCTCTGTGCAAGCCTGCCTCTAGACTCAATGTGCACATGACTTTCCTCTCCCAAAGTTTCAGTAGTTTGTGCTCATGCAGAGTAGTGGGTTATTGCAGCATGAAATTAAACAATAACTGTAATTGTACTTTCCTCCCTAAGGACCTGAAATGCTGGAGATAGTCTTTGGATGCATTTATTCAGACTTGCCTGTGGCCACTTGTGCACTTGAGCAGGGCACGTAACAATTTAAAGAGAGATAATTTCAGCCTGTGAACATTTAAGGGCCACGTGGGCTAATGAAACTGATTTGTAGGCTTGTCCAGAGACATTCACAGACTCATTTGTAGGCATCTGCTTTGCATAGTTCAGGAATTCTTTAGTTTAATTGATCCAGAACAACACAAACACAGTTAAATCTTATATATGTTGTGTGATCACATAGCTAATTAAAAGCAAAAACCAACAACTGCTTTTCAGTTAGCTTAGGGCATACACAGTAAATGAATTACATGATTTATCTGGTGCTTATTTTTTTATGAAAATAATTGTAGGGCTGTAAAATGTTTCTCTATTGCTAAAGATAGGGGTCAGATGTAACTGATACTCTTCTTTCAAAGAATTATATACAAATATATATGCATTTATACATATAGACTCTGTATTGTTACTGTTTCACATACTTTTCCTTTCTTTGATCACTGAAAAATTTAAAGCTTTATCTAAACAACTTTAATTTTTCAAACAGGTTGAGAATTTCAAATGGAGCTGACAGTAAGTTTTTGTGTTTATTTTTTCATCTTATTAATGGTGAGGTTCACTCTTCTGCTGAGGTTTTTGGAGTTCTTGAAATCCTATTGATGATTTTTGTCTGCTATACAAAGTAGCAGTTTCAGTAGAGAAGCAGAAAGTTGAATGTCTTTCTCCAGATAAATCAGGACAGATGTCTGGTTTAAAACTTTTGAGTTACCTGTTTTTTACTATGATTTTCCAGTCTTCTGTGTGAGTGAGGTTATAACCACTGAGCTCATCTAGACTGTTCGGAAACTCTGTCAGATTTTAACACATTGCTCGTTAAGAACCATTCATAAGATTATGTGTGGACCTCCTCTCCTGTACGGTTTCAGTGGGACTCCATGCCCCCAGTGGCTCAGTAGGACCAAGCCCTGTGAGATACCTCCCTGGTGAAGCCACTCTCAGTAGCTACCCTCAAATTCATTGCAATCTGTGAGCTCCTTTCCATCTTCTTGACCCCTGGGTACAGACTGGCCACCTTCCTCTTCTATGGTCTTCTTCCATCACAGTTTCTGGGGTTTTCAGTACTTCTTTTGCAGTTGATTCCTTCTTCTCCACCCACAAACAAATTTAAGTCATTTTCTACACAAAAAAAGAAAACAGTCTTTTCCTTGATTTTACCCAGCTTTCAAACTGCCTTTCCTGTTCCTCACCTCCAAATTAACTGAATAAGTATTAACATTTGGCCATCAGCCCATGGTGTCTATCCCCACCACTCTCCTGAAACTCTCCTCTTCCTGCCCCGTGACATCACTTCTTTTTAGTCCTCATCAAGCTCGTGGTATTTGATGCTGACCATTTTTGTCCTTCTTGATACTCTGTGTTTTCAAAGTTTCCATGAGGCTGCTGCTCTGTGGCTGCTCCTCTGTTTCTTTGTTGACCAGCTGTTGGTCTCTTTGAGAGCCTACTCTCCCTTCTCCAAGCTGAGGACCTTAGTCATTCCCATTCCTCTTCCCCACAACACCGCTCTTAGCTATCAACTTTGCCTTCTAACTCTATATTACCCCTCACCCCCACCTTTAACAGCTGTCTGATTTTCTCCCCTCTATTGCTCCTGCCTTAAAGCCTCCAATGTTTATTGTCCTAAAGAAAAAGTATACACTCTCTCTTGCGGTTGATTTTGTGTTGGCATCATGTGTTTGGTTTTCCTCCCTTTAAACGTTCCCCTGTTCCTACTGGAATTACCTTTCTGAACAACAGATCATCACTTATGTGGAACCTTCAATGGTTTCCTACTACCAGCAGGATGGGCAGCTAATCCCTTCGTCTTTCTCAGTGCCCTTGAGAGCCTGGCCCCCGTCAAAATTTCCAGGCTTATTTTATGAGCCCTTTCATTCACTATTTCTTCCACACTCTATATGACCACCCACCTGTTGGCATCTCCACGTGGTGTCTAGAAGGCAACTCAGAATGTTCCACCTCCCTTCTCTCCCACCTCAGGAAATGGCAGCTTTACCCTTCCAGGTGCTGAGGCCAAAGTCTTGTAGTCATACTTGACTCCCATTTTCTCACATCCCCGCACCCACCCCATCCGTAAGTCTTTTAAAAGATATCAAGCATCTAATCACTTTGCTACCCCCACATACCACTTTTCATCTCTTCCCTGAATTACAGATGGTCTCCAAATAGGCTATTTCCAGAAAACAGGCAGAATAACACTTTTAAACTGCAAGTCAGATTAGGTCACTCATCCGTTCAAACGATGTTTTGTCTCACTCTGTAAAAGCAAAGTCCAAACACGGTCCACAAGGCCCTGTTGATCTGCTCTCCCTCCTCTAACTTTCCCACCTTCTTTCCTCTCAGCACAATGCACCCTGGCCACTCTATCTACCTTAACATAGCAAGTATGCTCCTGCCTCAGGACCTTTGCACTTGCATTACTTCTGCCTGGAATACTCTTCCTTTATCCATGTAACTCACCCTTGCTTTCCCTTCAGGTCTTTGCTCACATTTCACCTTATCAGAGAGGTCTTGCCTAATTACCCTGTAAAGTTGTAACCTCCCTGTCCCCCACACTTCCTTATGCTCTTGATATACATGTAATGTACTATAATATTATATATTTACTTGTTTGTTTATTTTCTGTTTCCCTTTCCTAGAATGTAGCCAGAGACCTTATCTGTTTTCATTACTGTTCTTTCTCGCAAGGATAGACTGATACCTGGCACATAGTAGATGTTCAATAAATATGCATCGAATGAAATGTGAGCAAGATCTCACAGCTCCTTAAGTGGTGAAGCCAGGTTTAAAACTCAGTTTTGTCAGACTCAGATGCCCATAGTCTTTAAGTATTTCATTGTTTGTCTATGAAGGTTCCCTAAGCCTCTGTCTACAGCTCTATTATATTACTTAGCAAACTGTATTGTGATTATAGTTTACATGTGTTTCATATTAGCTTTTCTCTAAGGTGGGAGCCACTTCTTATTCATATCTGTCATGCCTAGCATGACCCTTAGTGGGAGCTAAATACTTTTTTTTTTAATTATTGAATTGAACTTAGAAAAGAACAGTCTTTTCTGATGATCTTACTTTTTACCAAGCACCCCCAAAGGGATTTTTGTTCCTTTCCTTATCCAGCAACAAGAAGCCAGAGAGAGCTGTGAAACTGGGCTCATTACACTGCTTCCTCTATGAGGTATAAAGCAGTTACCACCATGAGACTAAAGTTCTCCACTCTAATTTCGATTTCATGAAATGTCAAAACTGTTGCAGAGGATGTCTCTGGAGCCTTGTAATTCAGGACTTGAGCAGATAGAAGAGAACCAGTTAAACTTTCAAGAGGTGTTCCCAGCACATGGTCCTTGTGAAACTAAACACCTCCCTTGCTGTCACTTTTTCCACCTCCTCTTTTGTTTCTGGTATATACTTCTTAATGTGTTCTCATCATTTTATTGTCATTTTAAGTCAGTGAAGTAGTCTGCTAATAACTTGGTATTAATCATGTCTATATGGGTACTGCATCCTGGTAGGGAGCTCAGAGAATTGTGCTTCTGGGATGTCCTGAAGTGTGATGGGCAGCCAAGTGCCTTCTGCAGCCCAGAGGTGTAATTGGTTCAGAGGAAATACATCTTTGAGGCTAATATTACCTGTCTTTCTTCAATTCCCTGTATAAATATGTTTGGAGATATTGCATTAGTGATTGGAAGCTGTCAGGATACCATGCACAATAATGTGGTTAAAGGGTATCAGGCAATCTTTTTCAAAAAGCTGAGAAGCCATTCTGATTAACCTGTTCAATAGTAACTCTGAAGGGAATATATTCATAAGCATTTATTTATCTCCAGCCGAGTAATTAAAATGCCAATCTTCTCTATAATTTCAGAAATCTCAGCCTCCTTAAAAAGCCCTCAGGAGCCTCACCATCATTATTCAGGTAGGAGGCATGCGCACATAGACATGTCAACTGGGCTAAATGTCTGTGATTCTGCACTTGGAAGCAGAAACACTGATGAATTAGTGGTATTGGTATGGCTCCCAGGTTGAAAAGTTGTTTACTCTGATGAGAGACCATTTAGATTTCTTATCTTGCCATTGACTTGGGAAAACAAGTTGGTAGGGTTTAAGAGAGTTTGGATTAAAAAAAATGTTTATTTGTATTGGAAAGTTCCAAATTGTCAAGGGGAGAGATGACCTTGAGATCTGAAAGTTCTTTACAAGCTCAAAGCCATCCCAGAGCCAAAGGTCTTTGTGTTTTGGACTGGGGAAGAGACAGGCCTGAGACTCATTCTCTGAGGCAGGGTTTTGTACCCTCAGTGGGCCCTCAGTGACTATAACCACTGAATGGTTGCCAGCCCCACAGGGTAAGTTCAACAAAGACACCTTAAAGGATGTTATTAAACAAGATGTCAAGGGTCTTGACTCTCTTAAGCAGCATCACTTCACAGGGCTTCAGTCGTCTTTCTTTCAAAGTGGGAATAATTGTACTTGCCCTTCCTGAGGAACGGTCTGCCAAAGGGCTAGCTGAGAATACAGAGGGAGATGCTTTGAAATGCAAAGTGATATAACAGCCAACTGGACTCGTGCCATTGGGTGGTCTTTTGGGCATCACTGCTCTCAGCGTTGGATTAGATAATACACAGGCAAGCTTTTTATGCAATCTAAAGCTCGGTACATGAGTAAGTGTATTGGTATGATAATTACCATTATTATTAATTATATCAAGGTCATGTGCTCGGGGTCCAGTAATAGACTACCTTATCCTGAATTCTCCTCTGTAGTGAATAGTGTATTTCAGTGGATTCCAGACCCCACATTCCAGGCTCTTATAACCGGCTCTTTTCAGCTCAGCAGTAATCCGTTATTTTGACTCCAGCTGTCAACTTAAGAAAGTCTCTGGTGAGGAACACTGTAACTCACATTGACTCTGATCTGTTAGGCTACAGCTCTTAGCAGGAAAACGCAGATCACTTGCTTCTAATTAAAAGTGGTCTTCAGCTCTCTCTGGGTAAAAGAAGATGAACTCTGCAAAGTTAACAGTAGATGTCCCCACAGTCCACTGTGCATTAGATTCGACCTGGAAAAGAAAGACCACAGAGAATGAAAACCACAGATTAAAATACTCTTTAAAAGAAAGTTCCGCATATGTAAGCATTAATATGGTGTTTGGTATTCAGGAGAGCGGAGGCGATAGCCCTATCTCAGAACGTATTATATAATCTTATATAATCTGTTCCTAAGACTGGGATATCCTTCCTGCTTAAGGCATAGTGTATTTTAAATACTGTATCATAGATAATATTTTTGGTAAAGGGAAAAATAAAGGGTCTTTGAAATAAAATACTTTGGTATTATTTGAGTATATTGATGTGGGGGAGGCCTTCTGTAAATTCAGCCCGCTGATGCATACTTAAAATAATAAATCTACTTTTGTTTGCAGCCATTGAAAGGAACAATTTAATGAGGCTTTCTCAGAGCATACCATTTACACCAGTCCAACTGTTTGGTGAGTGCCATTTCTACCCTCTTGGGGTTGTGCCAGGATAAAGGCATAACATCTGAGTAAATCATAAGAGAAATCATTTTGCATCATTTTAGTGGAAAATTTCCTTTTGCTCATGGTTGCAGTTTAGTGAGATTAATTTCCTAAAATGGAAACTCTTATTAACTGCCTGGCTGGTATCTGGGGTCAAAATCTAATATACTATGGGGATGGGACCTATAATGAGCAGCAGTTGGGAAAAAGCAATAATGTTGCACCTGGCATCCACTGATTTAAGGCTGGAAGCAAGTAGAAAAGAAAAGAACCAACCAACCATGAGTAATGAACACAGAAGAAAATGTTAGATGTCAATACGGTAAAAGCTAACACATCTGAAGAGAAATGCTTTGTATATTGTTTTTTATTTGTTTGTTTTGTTCCCTGTAAACTAATTGCTCTCAGCTCAGAGCACAAATGTCATTTTTAAAGGCTGGAGTAGTAAAGAAAAACAAGCTGGCATCAGCCGAATCTGCCAGAGTTTCTCTGTCCTGCCAATCGGCAAAATCACAAGGGGCCCCACACTGTCCTAGGTCTTGATTCTCCCTACACTCTTTACGTGGGGATGATCATTGATGCAAATACCTTTTCCTCCACTTGGCTCCTTGGCTGGTTTTCCAACTCAGTAGCTCTGTTCTCAAACGTCTAGGTATTTAGAACTCTAAAGAGATCTTTGGTGGCATTTATCTGGGCACCAAGTATAAATTTTTGAAAACATGTTACTAAGCATTGCTTAGAAATGTTCTTTGGTAAACAATTGAATACAAGAATGAGCGAATTTCTTGGTAAACCAGTACAGTATTTATTTTTTTAAAAAGCCATTTGAAACAGGGATACAAGGAGAAGATTAAACACAGGCTGGACAGAAGTTGTATAGAATATGCTACCTCTGTTAGGAAGCATTAAATACTCTATTAGGTGAAGTCTAGGCTGAATAAGAATTGCTTCCTGATCAACAGCTTAAATGTGGAAGGTGCAAAGCAGTTAAAAACATTTATGTATAAAAGCTTTGAGTGGGGTTGGGTTTGTATCCAAGGTTCTACTTCACATTAGCCAGGTTAACATACTTAACAACATACTTAACCTTTACAACAACCCAGTGGAGTGAGCATTATTTTCACTTCCATTTTACTGATGAGGAAAGTGAGGCTTGAAGTAACTTATCCGAAGGCACAAGGGAGGGAGGGAGGGGCCCTGGGGTATGACTTTGATTCTAACTCCAATTGGGTTAAACCATGAATTATCAGTGGAGTACTATCACCCCCAAGGGAGCAAAAACATCTGTATCTTTTTATATTAAAGCATACACACACACACACACACACACACACACAGAGTACACAATCAGATATACAGTGTATCTTTGGTATTAAAATGTCAGGGAAAGGGCGATTAGGGAAAAAAAAAAGCCTGAAACAGCTCCTAAGGGTGATCATAATAAACACAATAAATAATAAACTATCTCTTTGAAAGTATTTGTAACAAAAGAAGCCTAGCCTTGCTTCTCTGTCTTTCTTTTTGTCCAGTTGTAGTCTACAGTGAATTAATTCTTGTGTGACAGCTGGCGCTTTGTCTGTTCTCGCCCTCTCCCTCTTTACTGGACTATCACGTGGTCAGATGTCTGTACTTGACCCTGTACAGATGAAATTCCCATCCCCCTCTGGTCCTTTAGGAAACTGAACTGGTTCTGAGTTGAAATTTAGGATGCCGTTCACGTCACAGACATGGATCTCGTTGACCCCTCCCCTGGACTTCTCTTTGCGGCAGGAGAAGAAGTAACCATCTACAGGCTGGAGGAGAGTTCCCCTTTGAATCTGGATAAAAGCATGTCTTCGTGGTCCCAGCGAGGGAGGTCTGCAATGATCCAGGTGTTGTCCCAAGAGGAGATGGATGGTGGCCTCCGCAAAGCCCTGAGAGTCATCAGCACCTGGTCTGAAGATGAGGTCCTCAAGCCAGGGCAGGTTTTCATTATGAAGTCCTTCCTCCCTGAGGTCGTGCAGACATGGTACAAAATCTTCCAGGAGAGCACCGTGCTTCATCTTTGCCTCAGGGTAAGTCAGAGACCCACAGCCCAGGTGGGAAGATCACAGAAAGGGGATGTGGCTCTAGCCTGGTCGAAGGCCATGATCTTCAATCGGAAGGATAGCCTACTCTTTTTTGGAGGTGGTGGTATTGTGTTATTTTTGGCTTTTGCTGATGAAGTGGGTAGGGATAGGAGCTGAATAAGGCTGAATAATCACCCCTGGGAGGCCCCGAGTAATGCTATTTGCATTAATTAGTAGGTGTGTGATAGCAAACTAGTATTTTTATCAATGCTCCCTTTTTTGCAGGAAATTCAACAACAAAGAGCTGCTCAAAAACTAATCTATACCTTCAACCAAGTGAAACCACAGACCATTCCCTACACGCCGAGGTGAGGAAGTGTGGGTGTCCTGGCCCTTCACTTTAAGTGGGAATTTCTGTCAATTTCTTTGCAGCCCTGTCAGTCATGAGAAGTACCAGACCGGTGGGGAAGTTCCCCATGAACTTAACTTCAGTTTCTTCCTTCCATAGTTCTTGGAGACAGTAGAAAAAGAATTGGACATCCCAGGGATACTTTGGCTTAAATCGCTGAACTTGTGTGAGTGGAAGAGAGACGATCAAGCAGAGGCCATGGCTAACCTCTCAGTTACGAAGACAGGCAGATCTTGGGTGTAGCTACCAATGTCCAGAAACGTTGTGGCAGAAAAGCACTTCTGTTTTAAGTATAGTTTCTTGCCCTAATATCTTACAGAAATTAGGAACTTTAGAAGAAGGATCTCCTGTTGCTTTCACTTGAGTGTCTCTGTACACTTGCATTCATTTAGCAAGACAGATCATAATTTGGTGCTGAGGACTTAACAGTAAAGTTTTATTGTTTCATTTATAAGGAACTTCATAGAGCACGGCCAGCGAAGTTGAGTCTGGAACTCATACAAGAGTTCCTCAAAGAGAAGGGAGGTGGGGAAGCATGGGGGAAACTCCCAATCTTTGCATTCCATTCCTTTAGTAGAAAGGCAAGGGCATGTGCCTTGAGGCTGCATCAGACAAGAGCTGGGTAATTTCCCCTGCTGCTGACTGTTCAGTAATGTGAGGCCTGTCTTTGCTGCCCTGTGGGGAATCAATGGTCTCTTCCTCCCCCCACCCCACAGGTTCCTGGAAGTTTTCTTAATCTACTGCCATTCAGCCAACCAGTGGTTGACCATTGAGAAGTATGTGACTGGAGAGTTCCGGAAGTACAACAACAACAACGGGGATGAGATTGCCCCCAGGAACACCCTGGAGGAGCTGATGCTGGCTTTCTCTCACTGGACCTATGAGTATACGCGGGGAGAGCTGCTGGTCCTAGATTTGCAAGGTGATTGATAGCTGAGGATTTGATACAACAGGCATGAGGCAAAGTTCAGGAAACACTGACCAGGGGTTGCTTTCTCTGTGCCATTGTCACCTTCATTCGACCCTGGCTCTTTCTTTACTCAAAGCCAGAGTTAAGGTCTTTCAGTGGAGACCTTTCTTGACAGTGTGTAGTGTTTTTGTGTTTTTTTAATTTGAAAATGGAAGATGGTATCTGTTTTCTGAATTTATTTATTATTTGTGAAGCTGTCTTAAGTGGGAGGAACCAGACACATGTCCTGAGAGATCATGTAAGAACCAGGATGGATAACGTGTGGAGTGACTGTCTAGCTTTGAAGGGAGGTGGGGCTGTTTATTTCAGAGACATTGTACAGGGATGACAGTGAGCACCTGCTGTGCTGTTTCTCGCTTAGATCAAGAGAAAAATATAGGCAGATGATTAGTTGCCTAAAATTTAATGGCATCTAAAATTTTAATCTAAATGGGAAATGATTTTTGTACCAAATTGTCCAGTTTTATGGCTTTTCTTTGGATTTATGTTCAAAATAAGACATAGGCATGCATTTATACACATAGGAAAGTTTAAATTCTGGTCATTTTTCATGACTTCGAGTCCAATACTTTAGCAGTTTATCATTTAGCTTGCTCTCTTCACTGTGTACCTTGATATAACAGTTCACAAAAGTACGAACTCGGTCTGAGCGAGACAACGTGGTGCACTCTTATTTAGTGGAAGCCTTTGATCAGTGCATCTTTCCACTATCAACACCTCACATGTGACTTATAATCCTGCAGCAC